CTGACGCGCTCAAGGGGACAGTGAGGAGGTGGCCAGGCGAGCTCACGGTCTCAGGGTTGGTAAGGCTGGTCTTTCCCTGACAAGGAAAATGGGCCCACAGAGGCAAGCGTGTTTTTGTCCGCGAGATACAAAGGTGGGGGAATTTAGAGCACTTGTTGGAGGTTGGCCTGGGATGCTGCCCGTTCCCTGTCCTTGTGACCGCGTGGCAGGCTGGAGCTCGACCCGGAGGGCACCGTGCCTGGGTTCCTCTCAGCCTGGACTCACTCTCTTTCCAGGCTTTGACCCTAAGCTGTTCCTTGTTTTCTTCCTGGGCCTGTTTTTGTTCTTCTGTGGGGACATGCTGAGCAGGTAAGTCACCTCCTTTCCCCGTGAGCTGGGGACAAGGAGCCCTGCAGACTCTTGGGGCATTGCTCCCAGTGTGGGTGTGTTTGTGCTCGAGCAACCGTGAGCTGTAAAACACCTTGTGCACGTGTGTGTGATCTCTGCAGGAGCCAACTCTTCTACTACTCGGCCGGGATTAGCGTTGGCTTGCTGGCCTCGCTGCTCATCCTCGTCTACATGATGTCCAAGGTCATGCCCAAGGTGAGCGACCTCGCAGCAGTCGCCCTGTCTGTGCCTGTGGGTTGTTCTGGTGAGAGTACACGGCCTTGGGGTGCTGGGTTGTGGCTCTGGCTTTGCACAGAGCGAGGCTCAGCAGCGGGGGCAGGTAGCCATGGTTGCCCACTGCCTGTCCTGAGTCTCCCGTCTTCTCTCCTAGAAAAGCCCCGTTTACCTCCTGCTGGTGGGAGGCTGGTCCTTTTCCCTGTACCTGCTCCAGCTGGTCTTCAAGAACCTGCGGGAGATCTGCAAGTCCTACTGGCAGTACCTCCTGGGTAGGTGTGAGCCCTTCGGTTCACCAGTCTGCGTGGCTCCTGCCGGAGCTGCAGCGTGCAGGTGGAAAACGCGGTGGCTCCTGCCCTGCTCCGGGTGCAGGCGCTGCCCTCGTGCTCCTGAGAGCGGCAGCAGGCTCCGGCGGCGGGTTTAACCGCAGCCGTGGCAGATGCCGCTCAGCCAGCCCCCTCACCCAGGCTGAGCCGTCGGTTCGCGCCTGCCTGACCCCTCTGCTCTCCCGCAGGCTACCTGCTGCTCATGGGCTTCATCAGCTTCGCCGTGTGCTACAGGTACGGCCCGCTGGAGAACGAGCGCAGCATCAACCTCCTCTCCTGGGCCCTGCAGCTCCTGGGCCTGCTGCTGGTGTACGCGGGCATCCAGATCCATCCCATCGCCGTGGCCATCGTCGTCATCGCCATCTGCGCCAAGAACGTGGACTACCCCTTGCAGTGGGTCTTCGCTGCCTTCAGGTCAGGGCTGTGAGCACCCACCGTGCTCCTGATCCCCAGCCCCCGCAGCCCCGGGGGAGCTGCGCGATAGAACCTGTGTCGCAGAACCGGGACGTGTTCCTTCTCCCCTGGGCTTGGTGCAGGAGACCGCTCCGCTTCTCCTCGGGTGCGAGGAGCGGAGGCCAGAGGGATGTGCTGCGCTTCCCCCCCTGCTGCCCTGGGAGGGGGTCCTGCCCTGGGGGTCCTGCCCTGGGGTCCTACCCCGGCTGGACGGGCAGTAACGGTGCCGCTCTGCCGGCAGGAGAGTGCAGAGTGCCCGGCGCGGGCCGAGCCCCCCTCGCCTGCTGACGGAGGAGGAGTACCGGGCCCAGGGCGAGGTGGAGACGCGCAAAGCCCTTGAGGAGCTTCGGAGCCTCTGCAGAAGCCCGGATTTCTCTGCCTGGACCGCGGTGTCTCGCATCCAGTGTCCCAAGAGGTAACGTCCCCTGGCAGCGTACTCGGGGCGGCCGCCCTGCGTCTCTGTGTGCTTCTGAAAGCCGGCGGGGGCTGTGCTGTCCTTCCCCTCTGGCTTTAGGGGAAGGACAGATGGCGCCCGGTCCTGGCACCGAAACACTTCACCCGGCAGGAGCCAGCCGGGCACGCGTGCACAACATGCTCTTTGCGGCTCGTCCCCAGGTTTGCTGATTTTGTGGGTGGTGCCCCTCACGTCACCCCCAACGAGGTGTCTGTCCACGAGCGGGAGTACGGCCTGGGCGGCATCTTCCTTGAGGACCAGCTCTTTGAGGAGGAGGATGACGATGATGAAGATGCCTTTGACAGGAATCACGGGAGTTACTCCCTGCCCCACAACCACCTGGGTGCCGATTGAGGTCAGCTGCCTTAGCCCCTTGGGGGTCCTGCCCTGGCCCCTGCTGCTGTGCCTGACGGACAGGACCCCCTCTTCCCACCCCGCTGCCTCTGGGCTGCCGGCGCCCTGGCTCTGCCGGGA